AAAGTAAAAGAATCACACCTGCAAAATCAGGATGGAAGGTAACTTTACAGGGTAATAAAAAGATTTAAAACACAGAGGACTCCCCCTCTGGACTCAGCTTCACAGTTAACAAAAACAGGAATAAAACTACCTTTATAGCATAGGAAAATTCACAAACTAATAACAAAAGATAACCTGATGCATGTCCTTGCCTTACTTATAATTTCTATAATTTTAGATGGATTATTCCAGGTATATTTTCAGGAGATGTTGTATCTGCTTGGTTTCTCCCTCCATTTGGAGAGGGAACAACAAAGATAGTACAAACAAAACCTTCCCCCCCCCCCAGATTTGAAAGTATAGCTGCCAAGGAGGAATTTTATGCTACTCTTTCCTTTATATTTATGACAATCCTCATCAACACTGGCTGGAATTGAGAAAGGAAGAATGAGATTATTTTAAAGCATCAGTATTATTTAATCTTTTTACAGGAAATAGTTTTCAAAAGGTTTGTAAAACCAGTAGGGCATTAGCTTCCAGGGCTGTGGGGTGTGCATAGTACGCTTCTTTCTTCCTTGGTGTATAGCCCATTCTCTGCTCTTCCTCACTGCTGGATGGTTTCTGAATGAAATTTCAAGATCCAACATTTCAGTAAGTTTTGTTACATACCCACGGGCAAATGCAGAAGTAGGCTGGTGCAACTCCACTGAGCACTCAGATTCTACAGTGATAGGGGGCCATATAAATATTTCATCTGTATCCCGGGGCTGCCCGATGCTCTGAATGTGCGCTGTGTGTGTAATTTTCTTATTTCTGTTTTGTTTAACAGCAAAAACGGAAACTGAGGCTTTACATCTCCAACACCTTTAACCCTGCAAAATCTGATGCTGATGACTCTGATGGCAGCATTGCATCCTGGGAGCTGCGAGTGGAAGGGAAGCTCCTGGATGATGTAAGACTTTGCTGCATATCTCTCTCCACTAAAGTTGAGAAGGGGCTGGAAGTTCCTGTTGTGTTCTGTAGGATGCTGGACTGTCACAGAGAATGCCAGTGTTAGAAAGGATATCTCCATATAGGAGTGGAAGGGCCATTACTTCTGTGAAAGCATTATGTCCAGCAGAAGCAGCAGTACAGACATAATTTTGTGGCATGTGGGCGAAAACGGAGGGGAGGGGGCACGATACTGACAGAAGGAAAGAAAGGGAGAGACCCAAACATAGAAGGGGAGAAGAGGACTGCACTGGGGGAAATTCATTCCATTTGTAGATGTAGGCTGGATTTGGGACGTACCTTGTGGGATAGGTCATGTCTAGGGAAGGCAGTGTTGCCAGGTGGTGTGACATGAGCAGGACAGGCTCCATTGTGAGGAGTAGGCTAGAGGGGCAAGAAGAGGATGTAGGGTGGTTTGTGTTCATAGGAAGTGTAAAAGAGCATATGTAGGGAGTCAGGGCCAGGTTGGAAGAGGATTATTTTTTTTTTATTGCAGTAGTGCCTAAAGGTCCCAATCAAGGTTTTAGTCCCCTTCTGTTAAGTGCAGAACACACATATAGCAAAGGCAGTCGGTCGTATTCTGGGGTGAAGTCCAGACCAGTGAGGGATTGTGTCACTGTCTGCCCCGCAAGCTTGGGTGCCTCTCAGTGTTGTATTGTTGTTTGGGGTGCTTACAAACAGCCTAACAGCATGCATGTCACACCTGAGTGTCTAAGTATAGCTGCAGCCCTGGTCCAGCAGCTCTGACCTCAGCAGCCTGCCAGACCACCCCAGTCACACTCTGGCTTCAACCAGCCTTGATTACTACTTGCAGGGTGACCCCAGCACACTCCCAATCCTGAATTTTCTTCAAACGTGCGTTCTGCGCTGTCCAGCCCTTTCCTCGACAGTTCAGATGTTAAAGGTCCATTTCCCCTGTAAAGGGTCAATATTCAACAGTTTGCTACTTTAATTGGCATTACCAAACAGTTCAGTTTAAACACAACACTGGATTGGTTTAAATTAAAAAATAAAACAAGTTTATTAATAAAAGAAGATGGGATTTTTAGTGAATTCAGGTATCATGTATTAAAGTCAGGAATGGTTACAAGAGAAACAGAATGCTTTTTGGTAACTAAAACTCAACAAGCTAGACTTGGTTCAAGTTAACATCCTTACCACATGTTCCCAGCAACATGGCTGACCAATTTTTCAGGTTAGGATTTCCCTCCAAAGTCAAAGGGCTGGTTCATTTTTTCTTCGTAGGTAGAAGAGAGATGATTTGGGGTATTTTTGCCCCTCACTTTTATAGTCGAGTCACCCTTTAAATTGGATCCTTCTGAAGATTACCCCTCCAAGCAAAGCTTATTCAAACAGTAAAGAAGGTGACATGGAGTCTGGTGTTGAAGGAGGCTCCATGCTCTTTCTTCTTACCTGTGTTTGCTGAAATGCTGATTTGCCTTGTCTCCCTGCCATTTCCCCCCTTGCTGTCCTGAGCACCCTGTTTATTATGTATCAATTGAGATAAACACACAGTCCTCTGTTTAGGATAGACCTGTTTAACAACTTTTGCCTAGTCAGGGCAATGTGGTTTTGAAAATGTGCTATTAACATCATGCAGGGGGATTTCATAACTTTACATATAATGTTGCTACATAAATTTCACAATGGTATTACAGCAAGTTATTAGTTTTCAGATGATACCTCACAAGACATATTTTGTACAAAGATTATTACAATAGTGAGTAGGTTGTGAATAAAGGGGGAGCTTTCGGTCACACTGTCCCTGTCCCTAAAGCGCTTACAATCTAAGTATGTGGTGGGAGGCAACAGGTGGGAAACACAAGCAAATGTATGGAGGAGAAGATAATAGTGAAACAATCACGATTAGTGTAATAAGCAGCAGCTGCTGCACAGCAACTGTCAAACAATGGTATGTTTCTGGGAGGGACAGGGTGAGACTTCGACATGCTGACCACCAATGAAATAGCAAGGCAACATTTAAATCTGACAAAAGGAAATATTTTTTGTACTGTGCGTGATTAACCTGTGGAGCTCACTGCCACAAGATATAATTGAGGCCTTGTGCTTTTTCAGAAAAAAGAATATCCATCCTTAAAATAGATAGGATAAATTGTCTTACTCCAGGGTACAAGTCAAAGTTTTCTGACAGAGTTAGGGGGAATCTTCTCCCATGTGCAGGTAATTCCACAATTGCCCACTATCAGGTTTCTTGCACCTTCCTCAGAAGTAGCTGGTACTGACCATTCTCAGAGACAGAGACTGGACTAGATGGACCTTGGATCCAATCCAGTCTGGGAATTCATGTTCCAGAGGAGGAGGCCACACAAAGTTAGCAGTAAGCCCATGCTGAGGTGTGTTCTTTGACATTTCTCTGTTTTCTGATTTTACAGCTCAGCAAACAGAAGCGGAAGTTTTCCTCCTTCTTTAAAAGTTTGGTCATTGAGCTGGACAAAGATCTTTATGGACCTGACAATCATTTGGTGGAGGTAGGATGCTCATGCAACCCTGACACACAACCCTGCTTCTATTGCAACTCAACAACTATGTACACTCTTAATTCCTCCTCCCATGTTTACTTTCATTGACTCTTTCTGCTGGGATGTTAGTGGCCTTTCAAGTGGCTACCAAGCTAGGCACAGTGAGTAAGGGGTGATGGCATATGTTCTCTCTTAGGGATATGAAAGAGATTTGCCATACGTAGTATTTATGACTGTAGTGCTTAAATAATCTTCATTCAGGCATCGTAAGCAACAAAACCATGGCTTTGAGAAACAAGACTTTGGTGTTGGAATTTTACTGGTGCTGAGGCTGATTCCCTTTTATGAGGAGCCAGTCGGTGTGGATCTTTCATCTTTACTGTGAGTTCTGGATCAAGGAACTTACATGATGTATTGGCTAATGAAGATAAGAACTTAAAAAGTTGTGAATAAGCATCCATTGCAAATTGATAGTATTGTAAGTGCCATGTTTTATTTTTAAATTCAACACTGTGTGAAGTCCTTCCTAGAAAAAAAAATGTGTGTGTGTGTGTGTGTGTGTGTGTGTGTGTGTGAAAGTTTGTGTAGCAATTTTTTTGGCCATGTTATGGTTCCAGTTTTAAATATTAGTTTGGTTTATGAATATATAAATTCTGTTATATTGCCATTGCATCTACATTCAGTAGCTGAGGGAAGGGCATTAAGCAAGTCCATGAGGGAATTAGGCAGTCCGTGCTGCTGGGTGCAGCCTACAAGTATATGTATGGCCTATATCTTTTAACTGGCCACAGCAGCAAAAAGGGGAGTCACAAAGGCAGCACATCTGAGCACTTTGCATCTGAAATTATTGAGCTTTATTCAAAGATGGCAAACAAGGTCAAAACCAGTGGCTCTACTATTGGATCTGTCATAAGATAGGCACTGGCAATGTCTGAAGCTTGTTCTTGCCATCTAGTATGCCACCTGGAGGTGATATTGAGGATTAAATACATTTTCCAGTGGAGGTACATGTAGCATGTCTTGCACCTTAAGGAGCAGATTTCGCAAGGTGACTATCATCTGATGTCATGGGGCAGTGTTGAACAGGACGAACAGCCAGGCCTGGTTCGTTGGTTGGTCTCCTTGTTATATGCATAGTTTCATTCAGATGAGTGTCTGCTAGTCCTGTGTGAAAAGAGCTGGGCCACACTGGGGAGCAGTACTCTGCTACAGAATAGCACATGGCAAGCACAGAGTTTCTTAGTGTTTCCACATTGGCTCCCCAGGTAGAACCAGCTAATTTGCTGATCAGATTATTACTTTTTTTAATTCAGTTGAAAATAAACTTTGTTAATGAAACACATGTATTGACTAGGACTGTCAAGCGATTAAAAAATTAATTGTGATTAATTGCATGATTAAAAACATAATCGCGATTAATCATGCTGTTAATAATAGAATACCATTTATTTAAATATTTTTGATGTTTTCTACATTTTTAAATATATTGATTTTAATTACAACACAGAATACAAAGTGTACAGTTCTCACTTTATATTTATTTTTGATTACAAATATTTGCACTGTAAAAAACAAAAGAAATAAGATCATAGAATCATAGAATATTAGGGTTGGAAGAGACCTCAGGAGGTCATCTAGTCCAGTCCCCTGCTCAACGCAGGGCCAATCCCCAACTAAATCATCCCAGCCAGGGCTTTGTCAAGCCTGACCTTAAAAACCTCTAAGGATGAAGATTCCACCACCTCCCTAGGTAACCCATTCCAGTGCTTCACCACCCTCCTAGTGAAATAATGTTTCCTAATATCCAACCTAGACCTCCCCCACTGCAACTTGATACCACTGCTTCTTGTTCTGACATCTGCCACCACTGAGAACAGCCGAGCTCCATCCTTTTTGGAATCCCCATTCAGGTAGTTGAAGGCTGCTATCAAATCCCCCTTCACTCTTCTCTTCTGCAGACTAAATAACCTCAGTTCCCTCAGCCTCTCCTTGTAAGTCATATGCCCCAGCCCCCTAATCATTTTCGTTGTCCTCGGCTGGACTCTTTCCAGTTTTTCCACGTCCCTTCTGTAGTGGGGGGACCAAAACTGGATGCAATACTCCAGGTGTGGCCTCACCAGTGTTGAATAGAGAGGAATAATCACTTCCCTCAATCTGCTGGCAATGCTCCTACTAATACAGCCCAATATGCCATTGGCCTTCTTGGCAGCGGGGGAACGCTGCTGACTCATATCCAGCTTCTCATCCACTGTAATCCCCAGGTCCTTTTCTGCGGAACTGCTGCTTAGCCAGTCAGTCCCCAGCCTGTAGCGGTGCATGGGATTCTTTCTTCCTAAGTGCAGGACTCTGCACTTGTCCTTGTTAAACCTCATCAGATTTCATTTGGCCCAATCCTCCAATTTGTCTAGGTCACTCTGGACCCTATCCCTACCCTCCTGCGTATCTACCTCTCCTCCCAGCTTAATGTCATCTGCGAACTTGCTGAGGGTACAATGAATCCCATCATCCAGATCATTAATAAAGATGTTGAACAAAACCGGCCCCAGGTTTTCAATTCCCCCATTGCAAGTACTGTAGTGCAATCTCTTTATCATGAAAGTTGAACTTACAAATTTAGAATTATGTACAAAAAAATAACTGCATTCAAAAATAAAACAAGTCTCTCAGTCCTACTTCAGCCAATTGCTCAGACAAACAAGTTTGGTTGCAATTTGCAGGAGATATGCTGCCCGCTTCTTGTTTACAATGTCAGCAGAAAGTGAGAACAGGCATTCGCATGGCACTGTTGTAGCTGGTATCGCAAGATATTTATGTGCCAGATGCACTAAAGATTCATATGTCCATTTATGTTTCAACCACCATTGCAGAGGACATGTGTCCATGCTGATGATGGGTTCTACTTGATAACAATCCAAAGCAGAGCAGATTGACGCATGTTCATTTTCATCATCTGAGTCACATTCCACCAGCAAAAGGTTGATTTTCTTTTTTTGGTGGTTCATGTTCTGTAGTTTCCACATCGGGGTGTTGCTCTTTTAAGACTTCTGAAAGCATTCTCCACACCTCGTCCCGCTCAGATTTTTGACAGCACTTCAGATTCTTAAATCTTGGGTCGTGTTTTGGAGCTATTTTTAGAAATCTCACATTGGTACCTTCTTTGTGTTTTGTCAAATGTGCTGTGAAAGTGTTCTTAAAACGAACATGTGCTGGGTCATCATCCGAGACTACTGTAACATGGGGTGGGGGATGGGTGTTCCATGACCACCACTCCCAAGAGAAGGAGGTGGGTGGCGGTGGTTGGGGACTCCCTCCAAAGGGGGACTGAGTCATCTATCTGCTGTCCCGACTGGGAAAACCGAGAAGTGTGCTGCTTGCCAGGACCTAGGATTCACGATGTGACGGAGAGACTGCTGATACTCATCAATCCCTTGAGTCGCTACCCCTTCCTGCTTCTCCACGTGAGCACCAATGATACTGTCAAGAATGACCTTGAGCAGATCACTGCAGACTATGTGGCTCTGGGAAGAAGGATAAAGGAGTTTGAGGCGCAAGTGGTGTTCTCGTCCATTCTCCCTGTGGAAGGAAAAGGCCCATGTAGAGACCGTTGAATCGTGGAAGTCAACAAATGGCTACGCAAGTGGTGTCGGAGAGCGGGCTTTGGATTCTTTGACCATGGGATGGTGTTCCAAGAAAAAGGAGTGCTAGGCAGAGACAGGCTCCACCTAACGAAGAGAGGGAAGAGCATCTTCGCAAGCAGGCTGGCTAACCTAATGAGGAGGGCTTTAAACTTGGCTCACCGGGGGAAGGAGACCAAAGCCCTGAGGTAAGTGGGGAAGTGGGATACCATGAGGAAGCATGAGCAGAAGAGCACAAGAGGGGAAGACTACTGCCTCATACTGAGAAAGCAGGACGATCAGCAAGTTATCTTAAGTGCCTATACACAAATACAAAAAGCCTGGGAAACAAGCAGGGAGAACTGGAAGTCCTGGCACAGTCAAGGAATTATGATGTGATTGGAATAACAGAGACTTGGTGGGATAACTCACATGACTGGAGTACTGTCATGGATGGATAGAAACTGTTCAGGAAGGACATGCTGGGCAGAAAAGGTGGGGGAGTTGCATTGTATGTAAGAGAGCATATGACTGCTCAGAGCTCCGGTATGAAACTGCAGAAAAACCTGAGAGTCTCTGGATTAAGTTTAGAAGTGTGAGCAACAAGGGTGTTGTCGTGGTGGGAGTTTGCTATAGACCACCAGACCAGAGGGATGAGGTGGACGAGGCTTTCTTCCGGCAACTAACAGAAGTTACTAGATCACAGGCCCTGGTTCTCATGGGAGACTTTAATCACCCTGATATCTGCTGGGAGAGCAATATAGCGGTGAATAGACAATCCAGGAAGTTTTTGGAAAGTGTAGGGGACAATTTCCTGGTGCAAGTGCTGGAGGAACCAACTAGGGGCAGAGCTCTTCTTGACATGCTTCTCACAAACCAGGAAGAATTAGTAGGAGAAGCAAAAGTGGATGGGAACCTGGGAGGCAGTGACCGTGAGATGGTAGAGTTCAGGATCTTGACACAAGGAAGAAAGGAGAGCAGCAGTATACAGACCCTGGACTTCAGAAAAGCAGACTTTCATTGAGGGAGGGGGGCCTGACGACATGTACCAAGAACCACCCGCAACAATGTTTTTGCCCCATCAGGCAACCAGACTGCTGGCACTAAACATTAAAAAGGTTGTAGAGCAGTTTTTAAACTAGGAGATGGGGGAAAGCCGACTGCTGCAGAGGAGCATGTGGATCGGACAGAGACTTCTCTTAGGGGAGAGTCTAATGATAGATTTCAGAGTAACAGCCGTGTTAGTCTGTATCCGCAAAAAGAAGAACAGGAGTTAGTCTCTAAGGTGCCACAAGTACTCCTGTTCTTCTTT